TATGTATATCCGTGGAACATGATTTATAGTTTATTGCAAAACAGAAACCATGACTCAAGAAATTCTGTTCTTTCTCTTTGAAGCTTAATTATTAGCAGCATAATTAATGAAGTTACGAACAGCAAGGGTACAATTGAGGAAAGTGAACAATGGTAGTACACAATAATTCATTGTAAGATAACGAAAACTTGTTCCATCGTCAGCAGATTCCCTGAATTCCTATCTTCGAACTCTAACTAGAAGGCTATATTTGGGTAATTATAGCATTTAAGTAATTCTAATAGGCCTTGACCTTGTTACCACTTTGGAAGTACCTTCCTGTGGGCTGATTATCGAGCTTGGCCTTTCTACCCTTCTAAGGCACAGCCTCTTCATTACCCATGTTCTGTAGGTCGGAACATAATAGATTGCTATCAGAGGATATAGCACACATGGTAATGTAGCAATAGCAATCACAAGATATTCAATAAATAAAATTTCTGGTCCAGAAATCTGTGCGAAGACACCAAGTGAAGATGTTGGCAAGTAGCAACAGATCGGAATCATGGCTTGCACTGTGAAAGCCTGGAAGAAGATTCGTTCATCATTTTCGNTTCATAACTTCGTTCAGAGAATCGTTTGGCAGATTTTGAATGCAGATTTGAAATCAGCATTAAAAAATACGTCTAGCAGTATAGGTCTCATTTCAAATGGCTACCTCGACTTGGGATCCTTCCCTTGTTAGCTACGAAAACGACACATACATATGTCAATGTGTTAGATGAAAAAAAGTAACCTCTCCATTTACGGTGCTGGTGAGTTATTATTACAGGCGGTGTTGGAGGTAACTCTACAACAAAAACAAACTGGTGGAATATCCAGAAAGTAGGTTTTCCAAGTTATCTTCCAATGACACGCTTTCGGGAACTGGCACAAGCTCACATCTGCTGGAGCCGGTCTGGCTATTCATTGATGCAGTGCGGGCTTCGGTAGGGAGGCCGTAGCCCGCTCGACAGAAATGAAAGGTGCTCCTGCTGCTGATCATTGGTTCCTTACCGGCTCCACATTTAGCGCAATGAGATTCGTTTCTCAGGCCACAATAGTAACATGGAAAGATCAAGAAATTGTCCTTTCAGAGCATCGGTAAAAGAATGTAGGCAAGGAAAAGGCATCCTGGAAACAGATAAACAATTCAATGGTTTGAACATCAACTGTTGGAGTGAAATAGAATCCAGAAAGAAGGTGCGACAGGAACAGGTTTGTTGTTGCATATGTATATCCGTGGAACATGATTTATAGTTTATTGCAAAACAGAAACAATGACTCAAGGAATTCTGTTCTTTCTGTTTAAAGCTTAATTATTGGCAGCATAATTAATGAAGTTACGAACAGCGAGGGTACAATTGAGGAAAGCGATTAACGGTTGTACATAATAATTCATTGTAAGATAACAAAACTTGTTCCATCGTCAGCAGATTCCCTGAATTCCTTTCTTCGAACTCTAACTAGAATGCTATATTTTGGTAATTATAGCATTTAAGTAATTCTAATAGGCCTTGACCTTGTTACCACTTTGGAAGTACCTTCCTGTGGGCNACCCATGTTCTGTAGGTCGGAACATAATAGATTGCTATCAGAGGATATAGCACACATGGTAATGTAGCAATAGCAATCACAAGATATTCAATAAATACAATTTCTGATCCAGAAATCTGTGCGAAGACACCAAGTGAAGGTGTTGGCAAGAAGCAACAGATCGGAATCATGGCTTGCACTGTGAAAGCCTGGAAGAAGATCATTCTTTATCACTTTCGTTATAAAAATTCTCACATTTAGGCCCTCGAGTGAAGTCAAGTGATGCTTTCTCAACCCTACCCCAGCTTTCAACTTGAACAAATTTTTGTGAGGTAATCGACTTCATCGCGGACATTCCATGTCTAACGGAACTTGGCCATTGAGAGCTGGAGTAAAAGATTAGGTACCAGTTTTGGTCTTTACACTAGTAACTTGCATTCCACACCATCTTCTTATTTAGGCTACCAGAATTCAACTTCCCGGATACATGAATATTTCAATGCATCTGATCAACAGGACAGTCAACAACAAGCTTTTCTTCAAACTCTGGAACCTTCAAGGATCAGGAGACTATTCATATTTTCCCAACCTGCTCTCTTGGAGGTTTGTTGAGATCAACTTTGAAATTGGCATCAAATCAATTGCTGGACTGAGCTGAAGGGATAAAGGTAGCTAAACTACAGTGCGTTTCATAAGTATAAGATCACCCTCGAATTCGGTGTTTACAGGATGAGCAGCCAAGCAGATAAGTTTTAAGCACTACTATCAGGTTCACCACCCTGAATAGTTCTTAGTTTCATAAGTATAAGATCACTTTGAGAGTTTGAGAAGAATTATCATTAGTAACGATAAAAACATTTAGTAGTTGGTGGGTGTTTCAGCTCAATATCGAATAGATTACATGGCATACTCGAAACAAGGTTTCGAAAGACCTCGCCGGAGATTCCATTCGAAGGTACCGCCTGCATGAGGTCTTCTATCGTCTTAAGTGACGGTTGTTCGCATGAATCTTTCTTGCATTGATGCCCCACAGATTCTCCATCGGGTTCAGATCGGAGGTGCAAGCTGGTCATGCCAGAACTTCGATATTTTGAGAATGAAACCAGTTTTTCGTGGATCGCAGCACTTTCCTTTAAAAAAACATAGTTAAACCACGTCGCCGTCTCAGACATGGCACCAAGTGACTTTGTAAGATTTCTGAAAGTTGGAGTCCTCCAGGTCACGAGAGCAAGATCCAGCCCGATATCGTTGCAGAAGGCACTCCGAACCATGACACTTCCTCCTCCGAGATTGCACCGCTAGAGTTGATCGGCTCTTTTCGTAAGTCATGCCAATAGTAGCTGTAAGTATTAGGGCCTTCTCAGTTAATTTTCCTTTCGTCGAAAAACACGACCTCAAAGGGAATATCGATAATACAAACTGGCTTGCGCACGATCTCATCCCAAATTCAACTTCGCACATTCAAGTCGTGCTTTCCTGTGGTCGGTGAGCTTCGGAACCCTCTTCATTGCTGCCCTGACAATGCTGCTGCTCTTTTCCGCGGCTCTCTATTCAGTAGTTTTGAACAACAGGAGACCCAACTCTGATCGAACTTGTTCAACGACAAGGATTTGCTCGAAACAGTTAGTAGTATTCTCCTCTCGTCGTTAGCTTGAGCGGGCATCCTGTCCTCGTGGGGGGCACTGTAGCCTTCAAATATCTTTAAACGGAGGATCTCACGATTCTCCTTCTAATTGCCCTCCTGAACCCTGTATCACG